AATTCATACTTTAGTGAGGTTTGTTCAGATTAATTATTTCTAAGTAAACAATGGAGTTTTCCAAATGTCATGTAATAATCAATGTTTTAAAGTTATTTTTTTTTCCGTTAATCTGAAGTCTGGGAGGGTTTGTTTCAAATTATAAAAAAAAAAAAATAAAAAAAGTGTTTTTCTTTAATGTAACTTTGCCCTTTCTAAGTGTGCTTTGGGTGATTGATTTCTCTGTTTAATACATGCTTATTGCTTTTTTTTGTAATTGCAATTTGTGGTAATGTCTCTCTTTATTTAATAATTGTAATTTCTTGCTCTCTGCAGTTTGTTGAGGTTGAAGGACAGATCACGTCATTAGTTGATCTGTATCCGTCCTTCCTACGGAAGGGTTATCGCAGAGAGATTTTTATTGCTATAGTGTGCTTCCTGAGCTACCTTCTGGGGCTAACAATGGTCAGTGAAGTAAGTATCTTTCGCAGGAGATAGTAGATGAGACCTATATCCTATTCCTTCACCCATAACTCTAGTCCAGATTTTAAACCGTAAAACTTTAATGTTGTTTAATGTTTATTCTAATTTCTGGTGCCTGGTATTAAATTCCCTTAATGTCTTACTGTTCCATTACCCAGGATGATAAGCCAGACATTTCTTTCATTCACCCATATCTGGATCTTAGTCCCCTCTCCTCTCATGATATCTGATCTTAGTGAGCTCTTCCCATAACTTGATCTTGTTCTCCTAATCCCACGTCCCATACGTTGAATTTGGTGTCCTAATCGCACGTCCCATAGCTTGATCTTGGTGTCCTCATCCCACGTCCCATAGCTTGATCTTGGTGTCCTCATCCCATATCCCATAGCTTAATCTTGGTGTCCTCATCCCACGTCCCATAACTTGATCTTGGTGTCCTCATCCCACATCCTATACCTTGATCTTGTGTCCTCATCGCACGTCCCATACCTTGATCTTGGTGTTCTCCCCTCTCATGCCAATGTCAATAATCTTGATATCATAATTATCTGAACTGTTCTTTCCTTTGTTTGCACAGGGAGGCATGTACGTGTTTCAACTCTTTGACTACTATGCAGCTAGTGGGGTTTGCCTACTGTGGGTCGCATTTTTTGAATGTATTGCTATAGCCTGGATCTATGGTAAGTAACCTGCTTTACCTTATGAAATAATTATATCAGATGTACTCATGGGAACTGCTAACACACAGATTTCAATCTGACAGGCTATGTAATAAACCAGAATTTGTCAGACTGATCAGGGAATTTAAACTTTTAGGCCAATATAACATAACTGAAAACCAAAATCTCTAAATCACCTATGGTTCCCAGCATAGTTACTTTGGCCTTAAAGGGAAACTCCAGTGCCAGGAAAACAATCCGTTTTCCTGGCACTGCAGATCCCCTCTCCCTCCCACCCCCAATCCCCGGTTGCAATGCTTTCCTATGGGGAAATGAGCGATGCTGGAGGTCCTCACACAGCGTGAGGACGCCCAGCGACACTCTAGCACAGATAATCTTTGCTATGATCCAGGAAGTGCCCTCTAGTGGCTGTCTGGTAGACAGCCACCAGAGGTGGAGTTAACCCTGCAAGGTAATTATTGCAGTTTACAAAAACCTGCAATAATTACACTTGCAGGGTTAAGAGTAGTGGAAGTTGGTACCCAGACCACTCCAACGGGCAGAAGTGGTCTGGGTGCCTGGAGTGTCCCTTTAAGTTGGGAAATCCATAAATTCCTGACATTTATTTGTGAAGAACTGTGCTTGTGGAATCATATAGGTGGCTCATCTTTTGATCCTTAAGGCACTTATATGCACAATATCAAATTTTACTTTTAATTTAATTTGAAGAAATCTATCTGAGGACTTACTGAAAAGCTAACTTTATCCTAAATTAAATATTGTATTTTTGTGTTCTCGTATTCTGGAATTTCTTCTCTGTATTTTGCTAAAGCTATGGGTTTTTCTCCCCTTTTCACGGGAGTGTGCAGATGTAATTTTAACTTTGGGAGTTATAGAGTTTTGCAATGGTTTAATCCCAAAGTTGGTCCTCCAGTTACAAACACACTTTACCCATTTTCCTTCATCTCTGCCTTCGCAGTATAAAGGGTTTTTGCTGGTGATAGGCAGAGAGCAACATCCTCCCATAGACAAAAAAATAGTACATACAAGAGATGTTTCTCCTGTTGATGGGCCAGTTGATTTCACTGCTCCTTCACACTAGACCATAATGGAAAGGATTATGGAATTATTGACTATTTGAGTCCAAAATCCGGTGAAAATTACCCAATTTCAGCCACAATGGCAATTCTCATATTTACTAAAGCCAAATACAGTCAGAATTTGGTTGACCCTAGTGAATCTACAGGAATAGCTCAGATGGATTCAGTGTTCTAATTAAAATCAGTGCTTTTGCATCCAAATCCTATACAAAGTATATGACTTGGAATATTCACAAAGCACCTGTATTAATAAAATACAGAACCAAGTGCTCCAAATGTAGTATTATAATTAGGGCCCCTACCCACCACTAATGAGGGGGACATTAGTTACTCCCCTTTATATTAGCCCCCATCCACTGACCACTGGTGGGGGCAGAGGGGACATTAGGATGTTCCTTTTTTTCTTTTATTAAATAGCCCCATCTAAATTATTTATGTTAATGTTCCAAGCCAGTGCCCGCCAATGGAAGGTAATTGGGGATCGGACCTTTTAGAGACTAGACAGCAATAGCTGTCCAGTCACTCATTTTAAACAATTAGCAGATATACCCCCACACACCGCATGGCAGTTGGGGGCATAGGGAGGTTTCAAACCTCCGCTATAGCTATATACGGGTCTTGACACCCATACGTGTTTTTATTTGTAACTAATGTAACAGTTGGGTAGCAAGTGTTGACCAGCCACCACACGATTAACTGCAGAGAGTTTTTAACTATTTGCCGACTGGGTGCTTGCGGTAATAGTTAAAAGTTCCCAAATTTGAATCATTCAATCCGATTTGGGCCTGAATTGCAAAGTCTGGATATTGTTGAATAATTACCCCATTCGATATAGGCCAGTCGGACTTTAGTGACCATCCCAGTCAGTGTGGGGCCATTTCTGTATGATCAGAGCCCAGGTACATCCTCCATTTTTTACTGACTGCATATTTAAAGGAGGACTCTGTGGCCTACATTAATCAAACAACCCCTTACCATCCCATTTGCAAAAGTCTACACTTGGAGCCATCACCATGGCAACCAATGAAAAGTTTCTACTGATCACTTCACGTTTATGTCCAGAATCATTCATTTCCCTGTGGAATTATGTCCGTAAGCCATTACACGATATTGATGAAAACTCTGGCAGACACCATCTCTAACACCTCGCTCTGTGCTCTGTTTGTAGGAGCTGATAAGTTTTATGAAAACATTGAGGATATGATTGGGTACAAACCGGGGCCGTGGATGAAGTGGAGCTGGTGTCTGATCACGCCATTGCTCTGCGTGGTACGTCTACTCAACCTGATCACATCTCTGCCATTCAATAATCAGTTGCCAAAACAAAATTGCTGCTGCATAGTCTTAAAGCCCAGTGTATACTTAAATAAATTAGGGTTTTAGTACCATTACAAAGATGATGTTGGGAGGTAAGCTCACACTCACATTGGCAATATCTCATTCATTAAAGTTTACACTGTAGTTTAGGTCAGGATGCAGGTCAGTTTGTTTGTTCAGTATATATACTGTAGCCTATGCAGGTCAATGCCCAGATATGATGGGAGTTGAGTGCAGGTGTGATAGAATATATGATTTTGTGGTTGCCTGGGTGAGTTTCTTTCCGGTTTGTGATTTGGTGTTGAGTAGAAGTGGAGTATGTTGGTGATGTGGGGGTATGTATGTTGTGTCAGGTGTCGGTGGTTGTTGGAGGCGAGGGACGGGTGGTGTGGTCCTTGGGACTGGAAAGTTGTGGGGAGGGGAAGGGGGGGTTGGGTGAGGTCTAGGAGGTGATGTGGGGGGCAAGAAAAAGTTCTTGGCTTAAGGTTGGTCTATGAGGTGTATCGTTTTTCAGGTGTGAGTTAGATCTCAATATTATTGTAAGACATTTTTCATTTTGCTAACTGGGGTTAGGCTCACCAGTGTGTATGTTTTCAGGGCTGCTTTATATTCTCACTGGCCAAATACACGCCCCTCACCTACAACAAGTATTACACATATCCGGACTGGGCCATTGGGCTAGGCTGGTTCCTGGCGCTGTCTTCAATGGTCTGCATACCGCTGGTCGTGGTGTTGCGTATTGTGAGTTCGGAGGGTTCTCTCATTGAGGTACGTAAAGAATAAATCGAGTTTAAAAGTGGTGAAATTGAATACAATGTTTCTAAAGTGAGTACGCTTTGGGGTTTATACACGGTTGCTGTTAATTGAAAGTTGATTTACAACATTTGGACTTAAATAGCAGTTTGCGAATTTTTCCTAATTAGCCATTTGCCCAAGTTTGGCTATTTGGTTTACAATGCAATACAATTTGCCGTTTAGTGAATATACTATGAATGCCTTACAATATAGCCATTACAAGTTTGCCATCTAAAATGATATGACAGGACTGAGGGAGGCTGAATTAAATATCTGTTGTGTATTAGTAAAATATGGAAGAACAACTTTTTTTTTTATTTTCTTTTTTCCCCTCATATTACCAGCTTTGCCATTGTTTTGTTTCTTAATTACATTTTTATTATAGAATACAAATAGACCAGGGATCCAGCTAGTGTCATTGTAATATAAAACAAAATCCAACATAGTGTAATAAAGTTATAGCCTTAAACACTCACAAGTTGATGTTTTGTATCAGGCCTTCAGGGTGCCTCCCCTATGATCAGGGGGGCTTAGTCCTGTCATTGATGATTACGCCAATTCTGAAATCAGGAAGTCCACACGCTCCCGAAGGTTGAGTACAAAAGGAATTTATTGGTTTTAAAATATAATTAGTAAAAAAACAACGGTCCTACGCGTTTCGTTTCCTTTGGGAAACTTCCACAGGGACCAAAAATTAAAACACAAGCAATAAAATATGCAATCAAATACACTGCCAACTTTGATTGCATATTTTATTGGTTGTGTTTTAATTTTTGGTCCCTGAGGAAGTTTCCCAAGGGAAACGAAACCTGTAGGACAGTTATTTTTTAGTAATTATATTTGAAAGCTAATAAATTCCTTTTGTACTCAACCATTGGGAGCGTGTGGACTTCCTGATTTCAGAATTGGTGTAATCGACAGGACTAACCCCCCGATTATAGGGGAGGCACCCTCAAGGCCTAATACAAAACATCAATTTGTGAGTGTAACCTTGAAGCGTGAAGCGAGTGTTTAAGGCTATAACGTTATTACACTATGTTGGATTTTATGTTTATATTTCAGTGATACAAGCTGGATCCCTGGTCTATTTGTATTCTATAATATCTTGTACATAGTTACCAACTTGGGAGGTACTTAACTTTTGAATACTTGCTTCTCTTAAGTCTAATTTTATTTTCCACAGGTGATTAGGTGGAAGCTATATACTTACATTTTTCAATGTTTTTCCTCTTTTTAGAGAATTAAATCAGTCACTGCTCCCAGAGAGATACATCGCTGGGCTGAGAATACTGAAGGTGCCACTCCGTTCTGCGCAAATGGTGGCCATCAGAAGCCAACCCATGTTATTGTGGAGACCATGATGTGACCATGCACAGTGCCGCCTCACTGAGGAGTCAGCCCTACATGTTTACTAACCCTCTCCTTAGATCCAAGTTTATGGAGATCTCGATTTGCACTAGAATTTAATTCTTCAGCTCTTGTAGAGACCATTGTATAAAATGTGTGCGCGACTGCGTATTTTATAATATTTTGCTATATAGCATAGAGACTTTTTGATCTCTCTGTGCAGAGACAGATTCTCATATCACAGAATTTAAAATGCTAAATGGTATACATCACAAGTTTAATTCTCAACTTTCACATCTCCTGCCATAACCTCTTGCAGGCCCTGGTGTATATGGTATTTGAAGCGGGCACCTGGTCTTTCCTATAGGACTGCAATAACAATTTATCAGTGTCCTGTACAATATTGATACAATCTTTATCGGCTCAAGATATTCATCAATGCAAAATGGAGTTATTCACTAAACTTTGTTGATCCCTATTGGACATTGACCATTGGTCAATTATATCACAGATGCAATATTCTAGAAGTGGGGCATTCACCATGGAAACCAACTGAATGTCCTCCTGATTGCACCTGTTTTAAAATTATAATCCCATGCATGCCAATGTCACAGGACAGGTCCAATCTATTTTAAAAATATATTTTAGACTTGCTAAAACATTCAAGATTCATTTAATGCACATTATACTCATAATAAACAAAATGATTTAGCATCACAAATCAACATTATATAATTCATTGCCTACATGTCAATTAATCCATTACACACCTGCAGGAATTATGTATAGAGGTGTGTTCTGATAAATGGTGCTAAGTACTAAAAGTTTGTTAGACACTATGGAAACCAGTGCAACCATCAGGTACATTGTGACTCCACCACCCCTTTTTAGAACAGACACTTTTTATACATAGACCTAATTATGTTTTGGGCACTGTGCTTTTTATAGAATATTTGTAAATCCTCAGCATCAGCTTCAGACTTGCTTGTAATCACATGAACAATATAAAAAACATTTGTGAAATGGAGTTGCTGGGAGCAGCCATTTTGGAGTTTCTTTCAGACAGCTACAGAGGCAGCTTGATTTGATAAGAATCACTAGACATTTTATTAGAGATATAATAAGCATTATGTGGAATCTAGACCACATTAATAATTTCTTGCTTTATACGTCACAAAGTCTGTACTGGTAGATAAAAAGAAAAAAAAGGTTTTGTGCTGTAATAGTTATGTTGTCATTAGGTGCAGGTTACAGTAGCAGTAGAGACAACAGCATGTACTCTACTTATTGTACGCGCACAGTACAAACAGGCATTCATTCTACACACTGGTTTCGCTTGAGAATCTGCATTTAAAAAAAAAAAAAAAGTTCAGGATCCCTACATATACTAACAAGCAGACTTTCCCCCCCCCCCACCATTTTTATGCACACCTACTGTATGGTTCTCAAAATGGTATTTCTGATTCTATGATAATATTTCAGACTGTGCCTTAAAATGTTATACTAAAGCAAAAATGGTTATAAATGCAAAATTCACACTTTTTTTTTTTTTTTTAATAGTATCACATTCATATCCTAGCTCTACATTCTGCATCACTTACCTCCCCAAATGTTCATCACCTTGTTTAGAGCATCCATTTCAACCTATTGGTGAAAGGGAATATGCCCTGGCAGCTTTTCAAAAAGTGCTGGCAAGGCACGGAGGTGTGCTCAGGAAATGGCAGTGTAGGTGTACTGCGCAGCGCAGGACAATGAAAATGAAAAGAAAAAAAAATCCTTCATAGGAACCCAAAAAAACCTAATGTATTACTTGAAATTCAAAATGGTTATTCCACAATATTGTGCAAAATTTTATTCGAAAACTGCACATTTAGATGGAAATATCCACACTGGAAACATTTCTCCAAGTCTACAGATCCGTTTCTGCTTCATTTTATAGACAAGATTATTCATTAACTCTGTACAGCTCTAAAACCCAAGATGGCTGCTCCCGTTATTATCAATCTGCTGATTTTAGACCTATATAGTCAAACCCTAGCAATCGCACCAGTTTGGTAGCTGGTAGAAATCTTGCCATTGCACCTCTTACAAAAGTTCAGATTACCCAACTTATCACATCTGTATGATTTTCCATTTCTGCTGTATTTCTCCAGATAGCCATCAGTTATCCATGCTGTGATGAGGTATAGGAAATTGATATCCTCAGTCTGCATGTGAATTTCATTAAATGGCTGTGGCTTTTATAAGGCCCCTTCATGATTAATAGATTCCCACTGGCAGCTAGTGAATTCTAAATCTTGCAGGGCAAAATTACTCTTACACCTCCCAAAAACAACATTTGAGACAAAAAGTTGTCCAACATGGCATCTGTATTATAGTGTGACATGTTCTGAACAAGCCCAATAGCTTCTTTGCCTGGAATAATGAAAAAACAAACAAAAAACTGTGGACTGAATATAAACCGCACACTGCACAATACTTTTATATATCTGCTTTGGTTAGAAAGTAAGTAAATTCTACATAATGTTCCAATATAAACAAACGTTAACTGGTCTTTAAACTACAACTTACCTGCTTCAGATCAACACAAAAATAAAAGGTTTGTTGGCACATATCACTGGCCAGTTAATGAAAATAACAGCAGCTAATTGTATCAGGCAAGGCACAGATAATCTGTATTGTTTTATGTGAAAATACACCAGCATTGAAACAGAGATAAATGTATTTTTATTTACAACATTTTACATGTTTAAGCCAAACCGATCTATTTTATGAACCAGAATTGTCTTTTAAATGTTTTAAACCAATAAATATATTGTAATGTCAGTGTTTGCATCAATTTAGTGCTGACTCCTCGTGGTTACTTTGCAAACGGTTCTCTCTCATATGGAATGTGATTGGAGGAAAAATGTATCTATCACTCATTCCGACAAAAAAATTTAATGTGTGTAATTAAAGACCAATGCAGCATTAAAATTCTGCCCTAAGGACAGAGTTGAAATATGAAAAACAAAACAAAAAACAACTGTCTCAGGAGACATGGTAGATGATTGAACAGGTTAGAAAAAATAAAAGAAAATACACTACCCAAGTAAAAGTGATTGTTTTATTTCATCAAAGAAAAAACAAACAAACAGAAAAAAAGATTCTCACAACACCTTCATTTTATTTACAGGAAAAATAAATTATTTACAATGGTCCAGAACAGGACTGAAATAATACTCTCCCAAAACATGTACCTTAACGGATTGTGCTTCCCGATCTACAAAACCGAACAGAGTTTGTATAAAAATACTTTACATGTTAAACTGTTTTAATCTTCTATATGGATAAAAATACTTATTTCATAACATGGGTTACTGGAGAATCTCTTTGAAAATGCATAGGAAGGGGTACAAGGAATACTTATTAAAGCCTTCAGTTAAAATTCTTCATTAAAAACCCAAAAAGGAGAGCTCTGTACCCATAAATATTGCATATAAAAATACCCTCAGTACCTTCTATGGCACAGTATTGTACATGGCACAATGAGGCAGTGCATATCATATACACACAGCTCTACTGTAATCTAGTAATGGTATTTGCCAGTTGGGTATTAAAAAGCAACTCAATCAATCCCTGCTTAGAGAGAGAGAAGACACCTATGCAGAAGCAGGGAGAACCCAACTCCTAGCTGGATTTAGGAGACACGGTTCTAAGACTCATACGTTTATACATTTAGTACATACTACAGCTGGTTCTTTTACCCATTTTCAGCTGTGACAATGCAAAGAAACCAGTCTTATTAAAAACCGCCAACACAGCACACTAGTGAGACAGGCTGGCACAATGCCAAAGTGGTGTATATAAGAGGTAAAACATTAGCAGAAAAACACAACAAACCAACAGATTACAAAAAGAAGCAAAAATAAGTGCCATTTTCATTGGGAAATAGATACTATGTGCAAAGTGTGGTTAAAGATTTATCCTGAAATTATTATAGTAAGTGCGCGTGGAGGGCGAGTGGCAGCAATCAAACCTTAGATTAAGGGGAAAAAAGTGAAGGAAAAAAAATAAAAACACGTGGAAGTGTTTTAAGTCAGGGAACATTTGTGCAATAACACCCAATAAGGAAAACATAAGTGCTGTAGGAAAAAAAGGGGCAAACACACAAGGTATGGCGGTCAAAAACAGAGGGGGTCTTTTTGCAGGTGTCTGTGACAAGTAAAGTATTAGAAAATAAATACATTTTATTTTTGGACAAACCATTTGTAAATTTGTGAATGTGAGTCTGCAGCATGCGAAGCTCATTAGGTGGTGATTGTCAAACGTGCATTGGATATTTATACGGAGAGAATGAAAAAAAAAAAAAAAATTCGCAAAATAAATTAAAAGGATAACCAAAATAGAACAAGATCTGATGTAGTGTGCATCTGTTTGAACAAAACAATAAAATAGAAAAAAGTTTTT